TGAGCATCGGCAGTAATGAGGCGCGTTGGAGTGACGTCACCGCCCCTCTTCGACTGATTGGCTAGAGGAGGAGCTGTCAATCTAGAACTAGTGGACCAATGATGATGTTTTAGCCCTCCCTGATTTACATGAAACTCTAACCGCAACATTTGGAAGAAGAAGCGCAGAACGTGGAATAAAGAGCAAAGAGAAAAACAGCATAAGCATACAAAAAATAAAAATATGTGCAGAAAATGTCTGAGAGCACAAAAGACAGAGAAATATAACCGAGGAAAACATGATTTTGTGTGCAGTTAAGATAATTTTGCATTAATATTTCAGTTTTGTGCAATATGATTTTAAATGTGTCCAAAGTTTTGATTCGTGCTTTTTTTTTTTTTTTTATGCGTTATTCAATTTTTGATTTACACTTATTATTTTTTGATTTGTGACCATTGTTTGCTATTCTGAAAACTTTGCTTTCATTTTTAAATTTTGTGCAATATAATTTTACTTGCGTTTTTAAATTTTGGTTTCACACTTGTTATGTTTTTAACCGTGACTGCAATAGATTTGGCGGGAATATGATCCCATACTTTTGTGCTCCACAGAAGTAAGAAAATCATACAGGTTTGGAACAACATGAGGATGAGTGAATGATCACAGAATTTTCATTTTTGAGTAAACTGTCCCTTTAAGTTTTTTTTTTTTAATTAATGGGCATATAATAGAATTAATTTGACCACATTTTTAATCAGTTTACACCTTGTGTGTATATCATATGATATGTGCATTGCTTGAAGATGCAACCACTTCACACAGTCAGTGTGCCATTTAAAGATAAACATAATGTGCTCTGATGGGACCGCATGCTAAGAAAACTCAACAGCACAATGGATCTACCAATAAAACAACATGAACTCATGCTGTGAACGCATTCACACCCTGTGAAAAAGACAACAAAAAGTCTTGATAGGAAGAGTGTATTTCATCTAACATCTTAACTCTTTCTTTCCTTCCATCTTTCGTCTCCTTCATCTTTCCTTCCCCTCCATTCTCAGGAGTATCCGGTGTCTGAGAAATATCATCCACTGGAACCTGATTACAGCATTTATCCTACGAAATGCCACCTGGTTCGTGGTGCAGCTCACCATGAACCCAGAGGTGCATGAGAGCAATGTGGTGAGTAAACACATACGCAGACAAATATTCTCTTCTTACTCCTATTAAATGTCTTTTCAAAATACACAAACAGTGCACACATAATCCGTTGTTATTTCTCACAATATGTGCAGACCCGCTCTTTTGTTCCATCCATTGTTCGTTCTCACTATTTCTCGCTCTTTGCCCCACTGTTATTCTCTCATTTTGTTGGCACACATGCGGACAAACACAAGTTTATTAAAGGAAATGTTCATTCAAAAATGAAAATTTACTCACCCAAGATGAATTTGGTCCTTCATCAGAACAGATTTGGAAAAATTTAGCATTGCATCACTTGCTCACCAATGGATCCTCTGCAGTGAATGGGTGCCGTCAGAATGAGAGTCCAAACAGCTGATAAAAACATCACAATAATCCCCAAGTAACCCACACCACTCCAGTTCATCAACTAACATACGGTGAAGTGAAAAGTGGCATGTTTGTAAGAAACAAACCCATTATTAACACTTGTTTTAACTTCAAAACGTTGTTTCCGGATAAAATATGAGTCAATAATCCATAATAATGAGTCATCTTGTCTGAAACAGGAGAGAAATATGCACAGATACAAAAAACAGATTCACAAAAACAATACATATAGGTAGATTTTGATGTAGGAGGAAAACAGGGGATTGACTTTTTCACAAGAGGAAGTGTTATGGATTATAGCCTGGTATTTTGGCCAGAAGTGACGGTTTAAAGTTAAAACACCTTAATGTTGGATTTGTATCTTACAAACACGCAGCTTTTCACTTCACAGTATGTTAATTGATGGACTGGAGTGGTGTGTGTTACTTGTGGAATATTATTATTATGAAGGTGAGTATTTTCAGCATCATTTTTGGGTGAACAGTGCATTTAATTGCATTCAAAAACTGTCCCTGACATCTGGGTCTCCGTTTCTGCACTCTAACAGAGATGAAAATCTAATTAGTTTCGGTGTTGTTGGCACTAAATGTGTGTTGGTGGGTGTTTTGGGTGGGAATGTTAACAGCTCAGCCCCTGAGTCACCATCCGCTATGCTTCCCCAAGAATTAATTACCCTCCACATTTCTGTGCTACCTTAATCGACTAAGCCAAGCAATTAATTCATCTACCGCCACGTCAATATCAGTCCCAAGGGGCTTTTCCATCTACATCCAAATTCAGCCTCATATATTATGATGCACATGGCTTTTCAGAAAGTATCAGTTTGATTGCGCAATGTTTGTCCTTGATTCTTATCTTTTGTATTTGTCAAAGCATGATGTGTACCTGTTTATCTGTATTTTATGTAAGGGCTAACTTAATTGGCTCTTCATGCTAAGATTTGGAACGGCAGTACATTAGTTCTACCTCTGAACTCCCCTAGAGAGAAACTTAAAAAGTTTCAAGGGGTTTTAAGGCGGAAGTGGTTATTAAGCATTCCTCCAGGTCTTTGTGCAGACAGCAGTGGCCTAATTTTCCTAGTTTCCATTCAAAGAAAACTCCTTTGAGGTGTTTAAAAGTGATAAGAAATTATTTGTGGACAAATGCCTTCCGTTGACCTGACTAGATTAAATAAAATGAGCATTCTTGGACAGAATGGAGAGCCGGAGGCTGTTTAAATGTGAAAGAAATTGTGTAAATATGCGATGTAATTGATGCGCTTGTTTTGAATCGTTTCAATTACAGTTCAAGCAAGTGAACCCAGTTGCCTCATGGTTTATACAAAGAGCATCTTGACTCAATCTGCTTTACTTAACAAGGTTGAGCTTTGCATTATGTCTTTTTTATTCTGTACGTACAGGATGCATCAGTTTAGAAATGGCTCACAAGTCAGAGCAAACAGCTCTTCACTGAGTTTTATGAATGACACATTTATTGTGAAAAGTGTCACTTTGTGGAGAATTTACACAATGACTGTTGATGAAAGACATTGTTCAGTAAGGAACTGTAAAATTAGCAATAAAGATCCTTATAATCTCTACATGGTCTTAAATTCCTGTCACACCAGGGGGGCTGTTATAGAAGGCGATTGTAAAATTCTGCAGAAGTACTTCTGAGAGCCAGAGCATTTTATGACTGAAGAAGCTTTTCATTTCCCCCCGCTATTTCACATGTTTAAACGTAATCGTAACCCCAGAATACAGTACATGTAATGGTCTATGAACTATTAGCTCACTGATTAATGCTGGGAAAAAATGAACCTTCAATAGTTTCTCAAGCCCATATGGCTGCGATAAGTGTTAGGCCTGAGATTTTGCTTTCTCTTATGTATTTTAAGAGAACTCAGAGGTTTGAAAGTTTATAATCTTTCTGTGACACTTGAATTCCCACTTTAGTAATAACTAGGGGTGTGCCCGAAGTCGAATACCGTATTCGGAAAGGCATGGATAATGGCTTCAAAAACGAATAACGGATAACGAATGATTTTGCCCGAATATTCGGCTGAGGGTGCAGCACAGTCTGGTGTTTGCTAGATTCACAGGTGAGCCAGGGGATCAGCGCGATATTTTACACAAACCTCTAAATTCACGCAATAATGAGTGTGTGAAGTGAATGAATGTAAACTTTATGAATGAAAAGAGCACAAATCAATCACTGCATTGCTGTTGCCACTCCGTGCATCTCTCAGAAATCAGAGCTTGGCAAGAGTAGGCCTAATATTACCTAAAATAATACATCATACACGTTCTACTATTTGTGTATATATAAAAGGCAATGAATGATTTAAACTGTATAGGCTACGATATGATACACGAATGAATAAGCACAGCGCGATCGCCAATCAAACAGCCGCGTTGCCATCTCTGCGCGTCTCTGTCTCTCAGAAACCAAACCAGCTCTCTGTCAAGAGTAGGCTAATAATCAACTTAAATACAGATACATTTTCTACTAGGCCTACATGTTTGCTTCCTTATCTTTTGCTGGTTTGCGTGGCACGCGCACATTTGTTTAGTGAAGTTCAAAAAAGACTCGTTTAAAGAGTTCTGCATAATGAAAATGTGCACCTTGAATTAATTCCGTCGTGTTCAAATGATCACTTAATGTTTGTCATGAAATCTTCCTACTTGTATGATACATTTTTAGAAATGTTTTTTTTCCCATAGGTTTTTCAGACCTGCAAATTACTTAAGTGAAATACTTTTTTAAACTGCGCAGGAACCGGTGAGCCAAAATAAATCATGTTGTTTTTACATAAACATAAATGTGCATCTCAATAAATTAGAATGACGTGGAAAAGTTCATTTATTTCCGTAATTCAACTCAAATTGTGAAACTCGTGTATTAAATAAATTCAATGCACACAGACTGAAGTAGTTTAAGTCTTTGGTTCTTTTAATTGTGATGATTTTGGCTCACATTTAACAAAAACCCACCAATTCACTATCCCAACAAATTAGAATACTTCATAAGACCAATAAAAAAATCATTTTTTGTGAATTGTTGGCCTTCTGGAAAGTGTTTATTTACTGTACGTGTGCTTAATACTTGGTAGGGGCTCCTTTTGCTTTAATTACTGCCTCAATTCGGCGTGGCATGGAGGAGATCAGTTTGTGGCACTGCTGAGGTGGTATGGAAGCCCAGGTTTCTTTGACAGTGGCCTTCAGCTCATCTGCATTTTTTGGTCTCTTGTTTCTCATTTTACTCTTGACAATACCCCATAGATTCTCCAT